AACTTTTTTTTAAGGTGTAACCCCAGTACTCACGATCCTCCCTGCTTCTGCCTCTGTGGTATATCCTACCAGCATGCCCTACCACAACTGGCAGTAATTCTTAATCGTAAAAAAATTGTAAGTCCTGTAATGGTTTTCACATCTATTGGAAGTTGTTTGCCAAATAGTTTTGTTACAAGTGTGCTTTCTTTCCTTTTCTTCACAACTTCTTTTATAAAAGAGAAGAGAGCTCTGCTAACAATTAAGCATATATTTAATACTTTACAGGCCTGCTGAGCTGTATAACTTAATATTTGAATATTTTGTTATGTCTATTATATAATAAAATAGTAATGTACATTGATGATGCTGTTTCAAATATATACATCTCATAATTTTGTGGAAAAAATAATTTAGCTTTCACCAACTTCTTATGAAAAATTTTTTGCAAAATCTTAATAATCTTAGGAAATAATTATTTTTTATTAAAAAAGGAAAAGGATAGCTAAAAGTAGCCAATCAGTACTTGAAAGTATAGTGAAATATTTTATGTAACTCTAAAACAGAAGGTAGAAAACATTGAATTTTAAAACTCAATCTTTAAAAAGATAGGAAAAGAAAAGCAAAGGCATAGGAAGATAAAATTCAAATGCAGAATTAACCTAATAGCCACAACTCCAAATATAAGAGCTCACAAAATGTTAATGGACTAAACTTTCCCCTTAGCAGACAGGGGTTGTTTAATTGGATAAAAATTAAGCCCAGCTATATAATATATATGAAAGAGTAGGCAGGTCATAAAGGGCATGCCAGACAAATACTAAACCAAAGGCATATGAGGTCATTGAAGTAATGTGAGAAAACGTGTACTTTAGCTTAGAATGTCTTATTAAAGTTAGGAAAGATTGTATTAGGATGAAAGACTTACTTTATGCAGAAGGTGTAACATTGCTAGAATGTTCTGCATTTAAATACCAGCCTTAAACAATATAAAAAATTGGCTTACTAGAAAAAAATTAGAAAACAATATGTCATCATAGTGGGAGATTGATAACAGCAGTAGTCATTTTAACAGTCTGATAAGGTAAACTTATGGCTTCAAACAGAACTTCTAACTAGGGTATCATCTACTGATTCCCCCAAGTATCAAATCTCACACAACTTAGATGAACTCAGAAGCATGGTTCTAATAATTACCAAGACTTCAGTGCTGAAAATCCATGTGGAAAATTGAAACAAAATTGAACCACAAGTGAGGATATAGCAAAATTTCTAAATGAAAATTTTATTCCATAATTTAATTTTGTGCATAAGCTCAGTATCACAACTAAAATTTTTTTGCAAGTTTAGACCAGACAAAAACTGAGCATAGACATGGGGAAGTGGGTAAGAAACATCAACACAACCTAAGGAACTTTTGGCAACTGATGGCTGCTGAGAATGGGAGAGACAGTCTCTTTCAAGGATGGGACTCTTGTAGGTTAACCAGTCTCCAGTGGTCTGACCTATACTGAAGGACATTTAAGAACAAAAATTAGATTCTATAGGCCTTTTAATATCTAAACAGATTACATTAAATTGGACGGGGGATAGTAAGGGGTGATGTGGATAGGGGAAGGTATCTAAATACCATCAACATATTTTGTATAAAAATTGCAAAAATTCAATTTAAAAAACATTTAAAAAATTTAACCAACTGGTGGGAGCAAAGAGATTGTCATATATTGCTGAATTGCTTGTATTTACGTATAATTCTTTATAGCTAAATGTCATTGTGCTGGATAGCTTTAGTGTCAACTTGACATACCTGGGTTGAAGGAACCTCAATTGGTGAATTTCCTCCATTGGACTGGCCTGTGGCCATGTCTTTGAGGCATCTTCTTGATTGTTGAGTGATGTGGGAGGGCCTAGCCCACTGTGGGTGTTGCCACCCCTGGGCAGGTGGGCCTGTGTTGCATAAGAAAGCAGGCTGAGCAGAGGCCAGGGAACAAGCCAGTAAGCAGCATTCGTCCATGGCCCGTGGCACTCCAGCTCCTGCCTCCAGGTTCCTGCCCTGAGTTCCAACCTTGGACTCCCTGATGAACCCAGGAGATGTAAGATAAAAATAAACCCTTTCCTCCCCAAATTGGTACTGGTCAGAGTATTTTGCCGTAGCAATGGAGAAACAAATTAGAACAGTCATCTACAGTCTATTGAAAAAAACAAAGATATAACTATAAATGCAGTTCTTCAAGGCAGTAAAGCCATACTTCAGGTATGATTCATGGCTTGCTGGAAGTGAAAGGACTAGAGATACATGCTCGCTCATTTTATTCTACAGATGAGAAGACTTAGATCAGAAACAGTTGGTATTAGCCAGGCATGGTAGCTGAGGCAGGATTGCCCTGAGCTCCAGGCCAGTCTTGGCTATGTAGTGAATGCCAGGACAGCCTGCAATGCAGAGTGAGACCCTGCATCAAAAAAAGAAGAAGGATATCTTGCTTTGTATCTCATGTGCTTATAGTCATGAATTTCATGTCAAATACTTGTATACTTGTAATCACCTTTTTCTTTGTGTACATGAAGTATAATAATATACCGTGTGAGTGCTTAACAATATTATTTTATTTTCTGAATGGTATTTATTCAGTTTGCACAAAAATTATGTCAGATCCCAAACTCAGATCTAATTCTAGTCTGGCCTGGTTGTTCTATCTTATCAAAGCTATATAAAATTGATATGAATGTACTGTTCAGTGTGATAATATGTAAACAGTTCTTTCAACATAACTGCTGTTTTTATCACAAAGTCTATTTCAAACTTTGCATTTGATTTTTAGAAATATTAATGGCAAGTTAATAAGCTTATGAAATAGTGTGGATGACCAGGGCTTTGAGAATGTTTCCTTTCCCTGTGGACAAATTTCTCTTTGCCAGAGACATTTAAAACTAATCACCAATCTATTTGTAAACAAAAGAAACCAACAAAACAGCCACTGCAGCAGCCCAACACTGAAGGCATTTGTGAAACCTCATAGGCAAATTCAGAGAGTTCTCTTAGATTGGTCTGGAGCTAATGCTTTTCTTTGCTTTTCCTTCTTTTGCTATCTAAATCCTCTTGTGACAATTTTTTAAAGATTTATTTATTTTTTATTCTAAGCATATGAGTGTTTTGCCTGCATATGTGTATATGTACCATGTACATGCCTGGTGCCAATGAAGCCAGAAGAGGGTGTTGGATCCCTTAAAAACTGCAGTTACAGATGGTTGTGACCTGCCATGTAGGTGCTGGGAACCAAACCCAGGTCCTCTGAAAGAGCAGTATGCCCTCTTAACCACTGAGCCATCTTTCCAGCCCCATCCTCATAACAGTTTTACATAGTACTACAGAGCTGCTTGGGATAATTGTGTTGTTCACTGAGGAAGGATATTTGTCTGCTAATAGTATGCTTAGCATCTTTAAGCCTTTTAAAAAATACTCTCTTTGGGCTGGAGAGATGGCTAGGGGCTGGAGAGATGGCTCAGTGGTTAAGAGCTGAGCCATCTTGTAGAGGACCTGGGTTCGAGTCCCAGCACCCACATGGCAGCTACGAACCATCCTTAACTCCAGTTCCAGGGGAATCTGAAGCCCTCTTCTGACCTCCACGGCATTTGCATGACACTGATGCACTCACATGAAGGCAATACAGTCACATAAAATAAAAATAATATATAAAATATTTTAAAAAGTACTCTCAGGGGCTGGAGAGATGGCTCAGTGGTTAAGAGCACTGGCTGCCCTTGCAGAGGACTCGAGTTCAATTCCCAGCACCCAAATGACAACTAACAACCATCCGTAACTCCAGTTCCAGGGGAATACATAACCCTCATCTTACCTCCATGGGCATTGCACTACACAGGTACACTTACACACATGTAGGCAATAGACTCATATACACAAAATAAAAAATATATATATAACAAATAAAATATTTAAAAAAGCACCCCCAGAAACAACTTTCCCTGAGCCCTATTCAGCTACCTCTAAAAGCTGTTATACGTATTGCAGAAACACAGTCTCAGTGGCCAAAAAGCCTTTGGAGAATACAAATTACTGCACTGAGTAATCCATCACCATCTCAGCCTCCTCCCTGCTTTCCACACTATCAAATGGGAGTAGTTTCTTAATTGGAATAAAATAAATGTGAGAATGTGAGCGGTGACTGGGAAAGTGCCTGACATGTATTCAACTCTGCAAATGGTAGTCAGTATTAAGAATACTCATATCATCCGTGTTATGTTAATTATCCATGTCTGATTGCTCTGAGAAGCAAAATAGAGTTTCCAGGAAAGGCGAGGCTGGGCTCACTGAGCATGGCTGCCATGTATTGTAAAGCTTATGCCACATCAAAGACTTTACTTCTGTCCTCCCCCACCCCCATAATCTGGAGACACGTATTTTCTATCTACTGTTGTTTTAAAGGTCATCTTGAAGTGATTCTCTCCCCATGTCATTTCAGGATATCCCATTTGTTAACTTGTATGTTTGTATCATGATGGCTGGCATTTGGCAAGGCACTTGTTTCAATAATTTTATATTTAATGCAAGAAAATATAAATTCTTAGAGGAAAAGTAATTTTTAGTAACTAGAGAATTTAATAGTAGTTCTATTTTAATTCTCTGAGTTATTTGGTATTACTTTCCTAAGAAGCATCCATATGTAGATACAGTACAAGGATTCTATGAACAAATGCAGGCAAGTATTTGATAAGCTATCTTTTTGTAATTTTCTACCTACTTTTATCCATTCTGAAAGAATGAGTACTTTGCTTACAGTCAAAATATTTTAAATTAGCAAAACTTAGTATATCTAGAGTAAAAGTCAGTTTGGAATAACAGATACTCAAAGAATCGATATGAATTTGGTTTGTTTATTTCAGTAGGTAATTCATTTCCCTGGCCAGGAATAAGCCGAAGTACAGAAAAATGGCATGAGCCTTATGTCTTATTTAGTAGATTTTTCTTCTTTGGTCTGATTTCTCTTTTTTGCTTGTGTTTTTAGGCTCAGCTATGTGAATCATGCCGAGGATCTGGCCTCCAAGCTTCTTCAGTGTTCCCCAAAGAACAGGCTATCAGCACAGGCCGCCCTGAGCCATGAGTATTTCAGTGACCTGCCCCCGCGGCTATGGGAGCTGACTGATAGTGAGTAGGACACCTGCAGCATCCAATCAAAGCACCTCACCATCAGTATGTAGCGTGCATGTAGACAGATGCATTTATGTGTGCATAATCATAAGGTTATGTATATGTGTGTGTGTTGTGTGTGTGTGTGTGTGTGAGAGAGAGAGAGAGAGAGAGAGAGGGAGAGGGAGAGCTGAAGCAGAAGGGGGATCATGTGTTATATATTTATTGGAATCCTGCCATTCAATTGCTAGCTTACCAGACACAGAAAGAAAATGGATTCCTTTTCTTTTCTGCTATCTCTACTCTGCAGTCTGCAGCTGCACATCTTTGTATTTGATTGTATGTGTGTCCAAAAAATGATCTGAGCAGTTATAAACGCAAAAGAAAATATGATTTACATATTTAGTGCTTTCTGCATACAGTACTATTTTAAACGGATGCAGTACACAGAGGAAAAATGATTCATTTCTGTTTGATTCTCAGAGACCGTCTTGGTTGTAACAATAGCCTTAAAAAGGGCTGCTAGGCAGTGCACTGAAGGGCAGAGTTGGCAGTTGGCTAATGCACAGAATTGACATGTAAGAACTGAAGTCATGTAATTCATTTTAACTACACATGTTCTTAGTATTTGTACAGACAGCTCTTCTCTGGATCTTTTAAAACAAAACACATTCTTGGGTGGGTTTTTGTTTTGTTTTTACAAAAGCATTCATATTTACACAGGCTTTTTCAATTACATTTAAAGTAAATGAGGGAGGATTTATGACCAGGAGGATCTCAGCTTTCTTCCCAAGTGTGAAACAGAATTCTTGTGAAATTTTGCAGAACACTATTGCAGTAGGAATATTTTTGTTCAGTGGTGATGTATTCTTTCCAAGGGCCCTTTAGAGATATTTCTTCTCACATTTTTCTGATTTCCTTAAAAACAACATACTGCATAAATATGTAAATATTTATAATGAATTTATTAATTTTTATGCATACATCATTTACAGTAGATACAAAGTAATTTCCTTTGTCTTTTGCATTTCAGACTAACCCCTATCCCTGCAGTATTGGATTTTTCCCTAGCAACTATCACAGTCACCCTTTATTTTAGAACTAAATCCCAAGTAACAACTCTCTTGAGTATTCTCAACCTAACTTTTTTTTTTAATGGCCCAACTTATTTCTATTTCCTTTTTTACCCTAAGGCAGCTCCAAGCATATTAGCCTGTTATTCCCCTTATTCTTAGCAAATCCTCAATATCTCAAGTATTCGCAGCACATATTTACTTTATAATTTGCCTTACTTCCTTTTTAAAATATACTTTCTATTATAACAATGATCCCAAATTTTTTTTAAAAAAGCGGGGGGGGGCACAAATGGGCTCATTAGTTTATGGCTCATCGGAATCAAACACATAATGAGTTTGTTTCCCCATGGAGTGTAACTTATACCCTGATCTCAGTCCTTGTTGACATCTCAATCCCATCAGACTTGATGATTGAGCTTAAGCCAGGATTTTGATGGTCCCTGAATTCTGAATTCTGTCATAGTACTTTTCTGTTAATATGAACTTATTACCCACTCACCATTTAGTTTATCAGCCAGTGGTTCAATCCAGTTTCCATCAGTGAGTAAATGCCTACACATTATCACTAAGCAGCAGACTGCCAACCGAGACAGCCTTGTCCCTGTCATTAATAAGCACAATGTATGCAGAACACCAGAGGGGAATTAAAACCACCAAAAATACCTCAGGGTGGTATTTTTAATATGAGAATTTAATTTGTAATTTCACAGATTAAGAATTTTGGCTGCATTAATCCCTTTATCAGCGCACAGCAGGCTATTTGCAGCAGCATAACCATAAGGCGGTATTCATTGGCAGAAACACATCTTTGCATAACGTTAAACATCAGGAGCAGTGAAACCTTTTGAAGGGGGGAGAATAAAGATGAGAAATCATTATATTTTTAAAGCAAGATTCTACTAAATGCCTCTGGTAACAATTTTGAGTTACAGAAATGCTATTTCTGTGTCTAGAAGATAATCATTATGAAGGATAAATCCATTCTCAAGAAAGGACAATCCCAGTATTAAATACTGTAGTCATTTCCATTTAGAACAACGTGGCTCTACTTGTAAACATGTTTACAAAACAAAGAATCCCCAGACTTCTGAGACTTTGGGTATTAATTCCTTAAAGTGAAATGATTGGCTTTGATGACTCTTAGTCTGAGTTGGTCTTTATTCTGCAGACTGTATTTAGAAATTCTTAGGGTTCTTCAACTTCACATTAGTATGGAGACTTGTAAAAGTTCACTGTCTGGCAAATGGCAGCACTTGCAGCGGCAGCAGCAGAACTCTTGCACACTCCCCTTTCAAGGCAGTTTTGAAGAAGGTGCACCTGTCAAGAAGTGTTGCAGAACTAACACATGGATCATTCTGCTATGACTCATTGATTCTAAGATCCTCTCTGCCTTAGATGAATCACTTTGCAATGAGGAAATATGCCCCATTATGGGGGTTGCTGAACCAATAGGTACTTATTCTCATAGTTCTTGGGGTAGGTGGGAAGGTCAAGATGAGTTTACTGGCCCATTCTGTTCCTGGTGAGGGATGTCCTAGCTGGCAGAAGGCCACCTTGCTGGGGTTTCACAAGACAGAGTATTCCTCTGTCCCTCTTCTTATAAAGCTACTAATCTCATCATAACAAACTCCCATGTCATCCAAGCCTAATCACCTCCCAAAGGCCCCATCTCCAGATACCAGTATGTTGGGGCTAGGGCATCATCATGCAAACTTGGAAGGGTATGCAATTCATGCCATAAGGCTCTTAGCTGATGTGATGACTTTTTGAACTGTTTAAAGAATGTCCTTAAAAGGAAAAATACCTAAGGATTGGAAGTAAAATCAGATTAAAAATAGAAGATTAAGAAAAAATAACTTACTAGTGAACTCCAACCTTCTTGTGCCTACATAAAACCTACTTTTTTTACATCCCTAGATCAACTATATATATATACATATATATATATATATGTATATATATATATATATTGAAATTGTTATTTGCTTTCAGAGAATACATAACAATATCTTTCTTATTTTATTGTTCCTCAACATTTCATCAGCTTACTCTTTGAGTTTCTGTATAACTTTGCTGATAGCTACTGTCCTGAGCAGACACCAGAGGCCCAGACAGAAGAGCACTGTCAGGACATCCATCTGCATGGATCCCTGTGAGAGGTCTCCACCTCAGGGAGCAGATCATAGGAGTGGCTTCAGTGGCACAAGCACCATGTGAGAGCCTAAGAGTTTTAGTGACCACAGGTCCTGAGGCATGCCCAGAGGCGACACATTGAAGTCACAGAGTAGAGGCAAGAAGAATGCAGGACATTGAGCCACTGCCTTTCTGGGGCCCAGGGCTTCATCCCAACAGATTTTCCTTGGGAAGAAAAGTAAGCAGGGAGACATTTCCAGAAGTCACCCTGTGAATGAGACATGACCAAGGGCCCCATAGGGAAGGACCACCACAAAGCAGATAAACAAAGCAGATCTTGATTGACACACTGAGAAGAAGGGAGGAGGTATAGGACTGGAAACTGGGTTGTGGGTGACCAAGCCCTGCTTTTGGTGTGAGAAAATTCAACTTGTTTTCCATAATGGACACTGAAGCACATTAAATCTACGAACATTCATTATAGTTACATGAGACCAAAATTTAGAGAGAAAATATTATCAAAGCAGGAAATGTAGTAAGTGCATCAAGCAAGAATAATCACACAGTTACCCAAGGGTCTAATAGTTAAAGCTGGCCAATGCTGATGATGCTGTCATTCTTCTGTCCTGAAACCCCAACAGCCTTGCCCCGCTTCTTCACAAAGATTTAATTGCAAGGAAATAAATGGAAAGTGGATTTAGAAGAAATTCATTACTTTCTCCCAAATACACCACAGGGCATTTTCTCATGTATACCATCAAGTTCCATAAATAATTGAAGCTGAACTGTCCTTGTCAAAGTAAATGAACAAAATATACTTCATAGCACAGAGTCCTTGATTTTATTACATTCATTTGCTAATTCACAAAACTCAAATCTTGTAAAAGAGGGCCATCAAATTGGTCCAGTGTGGAGAGCACTGAGCTGAGAGAATCAGATCATCTCGATTAGACCCTCAGCCCCACAGGTACTAGGAGGCAGTTGTAGACATGTGCCTTGGTCCCTCTGCATGCTTACCTTCTCATTTAGAGAACAAGTTAAGAAAGACAGAGTAGTCCTTAAGGACCTTTACAGATCTGGTGTTTACAGCTTTACCTACATAGTCCTTGTATTTGTTACTTATCTGTTGTGTGATAAAATAGCATGACCAAGGCAACTAATGGAAGGAAGAGTTTATTTGACTCTATGGCTCCGGGGGATCAAAGTCCATTATGGTGGAAAGGCATGGCAGCAAGCGGCAGGCATTGTGGCAGTTGCTGAAAGCTGAGAGCTCACGTCTCCAGTGGCAAACTGGAAGCAGGGAGAGGGCAAATTGGAAGTTGGGCAAGGCTATGAATTCTCAGAATCTGCCTGGAGTGACATGCTTTCTCCAGCAAGGCCACAGCTCCTAAACTGTTGCAAACAGTGTTACCAATTAGGGCCAAGTGTTCAAATATGTGGGGGACACGTCTCATTCAAACCAGAATAGTCCTCTATAATTCTTTAAACAACATAATGCTGTTATACAGCAGCACACCATCTTTTTACAAATAAAACAAGCATACCTGTTTGTCTCTCTGTCAGTTTGTTTGTTTGTTTGTTTGTTTGTTTGTTTAGTCAGGCTTTCACTATGTAGCCCTGGCTGGCCTCTAACTCACAGAGATTCTCCTAGCTCTCTTTCCAAACTGCTGGGATTAAAGACATGTGCCACCACACCTGGTAAGCACGTGTATTTTAAACAGCTCTGCTGACACCTTTTTCTTAAATGTCCGTTCTACTCTGAATACTTTCCACCCAGGCTTTTTCATCTATAATGCCTACACTGCTGTTTTTCAACATCTCTGTTCTTTGGGATTTCCCCAGCCTTCAACTGGATCTGTCAGTGGAATATGACACAATCATCTGCCACTTCCTCCTACCAACACTTTCTTCACTTGGTTTCTGGGGCAGGATTCTTTTATGGTTTTCCTGTCACCTCCCTAAACTTTCCTTTGCAAACTTACCTGCTAGGCTTCTCACTGTTAATGTTCCTCAGACTTTTCTATTACACTCCCCAGACCTGGGTGATTCCATCCAGTCTCAAGATTTAAGTATCATCCAAACACTGGCAGTTCCTAATACTCTATTCCTAATCCCATTTCCCCTGCCTCCAGACTTGTATATCCAGCCAACTACTTAGCCTATCCATTTGTCCATCTAGTAATTGAAAACTTAGGATTACCAGAATTGTAGTCCTGATCTTTTCACCCCAAGCTGTTCCTTGTATAGTCCTATCCTTGTGAATAAATGGCAACGCCATTCTTCCAGGTGACACAGGTGATCCTTATCTCCTTTCTACTTTCCCCGACTGCTCCACAGACTCCGGAATCACGCCAGTGCTCACTTCATTTCTGTCCCCCCCTTTCAAGTCACTCACCACATCCCCTCATCTGTATGTTCACAGCAGCCTCCTAGAGGGCTTGCCTGCTTCTCTTCTTGCTTCCCTGCAGCCGGCTCTGTGAATTTCCTCTGTGGACGTTGTGTCTGCTCCCTTCTAGGTCTATGTACTGCCTGCCCTCTCACCTCCTTTCCATTGCAGCTTAAATGGTCTTTATCAGGGAAACCTTCACGGACTGCCTTCTTCTCTCAGACCTCCACGTTCCCTTCCCTGCTTTACTTTCCTTCATAATGTTTACTGGCATTTATTAGATTTATTTGGTTGTCTGTCTCTCCCAGCCAGAATCTACCACAGAAAGCATTTCCTTCAACTTTGATTTGTTCACTGCAGGATTCTTTAATTCCCAGAAGAATGTTAGAGCCAATAAATTACTTCACTCATGAGTTAATGAAAGAATGTCAAAGACTGTTGTCTCCAAATCCAAGTTAGTTATTCTAGATCAGAGAAATAAGTGTAAGCTGTGTCTCTACCATCTGTGCATGCCTGTGTGTGAAAATGTGTGTGTGCCTTTGACCACTTGGTATTTCAGACACCAACACACACCATCATGTCCCTCATGCTGGACATCCAAACTGTATCTCAGTCTCCACTGTTTTTTAAAAAAGAAAAGTTTGGGGCTGGCGAGATGGCTCAGTGGTTAAGAGCACTGACTGCTTTTGCAGAGGACCCGGGTGAAGCCCTCTTCTGACCTCCACGGCATTGCATGACACGGGTGCACTCACATATATACAGGGAATACACTCATACACATAAAATAAAAATAAATAAAATATTTTTTTAATTAAAAAAAATTAAAGTTTGTAAGCACATGTAAAAATATGTAAATGGAAGTTTTTCATTCTTTCTACAGTGTCTTCTATTTTTACCATCCCAAATGTGAGATTGCAACCAGAAGCTGGAGAGAGTATGCGGGCTTTTGGGAAAAACAATAGTTATGGCAAAAGTCTATCAAACAGCAAGCACTGATGAGTACAGCATTCTCAGGACAGCACAGGTAAGATGACCTACTTTACTTAGTAATATGTTATAGAAATAGCATAGATCATTAAAATTAAATGTTTCAGCTTCTCTTTCACCTGAAACTATCTTATGAATCCCTTGGGCTTATTCAGACATTTATCACATATTCCACTAAGGCAAAAAGTAATCAGGCATTTCTAGATTTTCTGACACCTACTAGGTTCTAACAAAAATTACATTGTGTTTTGCACTTCAGTTATGTCATCCCAAGCAAACTATTTTGTCATGAATAGATTATCTTTACTCTTGAGGTTAGTAGAAGGTCCACTTTGAGCTGCACCTAAGCCACAGACTTAGGGCAATATTTGATTGATACTATTTTTAATTAGTTGCTCTCATTTCAAAGGTGGGAGATTCTATACAGACGTGTATAGATTTCTGGTTTGTCATGAAATATCAGCAACTCTGACAATACCCCACTCCTGTTCCTACCTGAAGTTTTGTGTAATGAGAGAGGATAAACGTTCCCTATTTTAAGCTCAGCTGGCAACTACCTCCCTCTTTGATTTCTGATTCCTGTCTGGACCCTGGCACAGACTTACCATAGTAAAGCTTGTGTTTTTCATGATTTGATTTTTTGACCTCTACTACTTTACAGATAGGGAGTGGAATTTGAACATGATGATGCCCAGGCTTGTCAACCTGTTGCAGTCCCCATCCATGCCCAGTGACAAGCATGAGATAGCAATTTCTGAAAGGCTGTGCCTTCCTGGATTACCAAATAGAAATGTCTGGTGTTTTTATAACATCATACTAACATCATTATAACATTTAATAACAGAGCTTCCCTTTGTGGGGAAGGCTTTCTCATACTGATTCATATAGAGAAGTGTATGCATGTTCCTTGTTCCTGTGTGTGCTCCATAGCTAAGTATTGAAGGGCATTGAAGGATATGTACATGAACAGCTGCTATTCCTTCCTTCCCTCCCTTTCTCCCTCCCTCCCTCCTTTCCTTCCTTCCTTCCTTTCTTTCTCTCTTTCTTATATAAATACATATTTGTGTATATGTACACGCATGTGTAGAGGCCACAGGTTAGTATCAAGTGTCTCCTTCAGTCGCTGTCCACTTTATTTTTTGAGACAGGATCTCTTGCTGAACCTGGAGCTTGATGATTCAGGTAGACTACCTGGCCAGCAATCCCCAGGAATCCTCCTGGCTCTGCCTTCTCAGCGCTGGGATTACAAGCATGGGCTGGCACACCTAGCTTCTCTTTTTAAATTAGATTCTGAGGAATCAAATTCAGGTCTTCATGCTGGCATCACAAGCACTGACTGAGCCATCTCCATAGCCTGTTCTCCTGTGTTGAAATATGTCAAGAAGCTAAGTAGACAGTGTGGGAAAGACAGTAAATTCAAATGTGTATATTGCCCTGTGAAAGATCTGCCAGTATCTTGAGCCATTTCAGTACTTAACTTTTTATCCCCTCAACATGGAGTTTGATTGTGGTGGCCTAGGGGTATGGAGATGATTTATGGGTGATTTGAAGAACAAAAATTCCTATATAATATGATGTCTAAATGCTGGTCAGAAGATGTGGCTATTAAAGGTGCCACTACATAGGAAGGAATACAGTTCTTTCTTCAGGTTATTTGTGCCCAGTGGATATGAGGTTACCTAGAAGTGTACTTTAGTAGCATCTGGGATCCTACTCTGAGCTGCAGTTGCTCAGATAGACTGGGGCTGAGTTTCTGACCAGTTACGTCCTGGTTCTAAGAATGATTGGGGTTCATGAGGGCTGTAGCATTTGTTTTTAAGTCTTTAGCCCCAGCTTCTTAAAGCCCTTAGCTAATTCAGTAGAATGAGAACAAAAAGTGTTCTTTGTTTTAGTGCCTCATGCACCCAAGCAAGTCTAAATTTCAGTCACAGGACCATGTCCTTTCTTCTTGGCTCTTCTGAACTGTCTTGACCTGTCCAGTCAGAGCTGTTACGATGTGTTTCAGATCAGCTCATTCTTGTAAAATCAAAAGGAGCTGACTGGACACAGCATTACCCAGAAAGTCTTGACGATCATTAATTGAAAAAAAAAAAATTGATGCTCAGGACTGCAGCCATCAGTATTTGAAGCTTTACAGTGTGTTTTTACACTAGATCTAGGAATGGGAATGTAATGGAAGCTTTTTTCTAGAATTGTTTGTAACAGTACTTAAGAGTTTTGTCTTTTTCACCTCAACTTTGAAAGCTTCAGTATTACTGCTATTGCTTAGAGCTCATCCCCATTCAGCAGACTGCTCACAAAACATCTCAGGTCTTCTCAGAAAAACTGAATTCTAACATTTTAATTTCTCATTTTTGAAAGTTTATTTTAAAAAGTCAAATGTGTCCATGTTAGAAATCAAATAACATAGCCTATTTATTGACCTCTGACATACGGCATGGTCTTTTGCAGACCAGTACTGGATTTCAAAATAAAGACACTATGGAGCAAAAAGTCTATGCTAATAAATTATCTGTAGAGAAAAACATATACTCCCCTAGTCTTTCATTTTCTGGTTATTGATTTATCTGTCAAACTATTTAGAGTAGACTGTGGCATATTAAATTTCCCTCAAATGTCCTAGTACTCTGTAAAGCCCAGAGTGATTGGGAAAAAGAAGGAGAGGAAGAGACTGGGGGCAGAGCAAGCCTAAATACAAGCTAGAGTTTTAGCCATCTCCCTGGGGAACAACAGGGCCCTCAGTGTGGAACTTGCATTATGTCCCTCTGCCTTTGAAATGATGGGGACTGGGCAGGCAGCAATGTTTCAAGTCCTAATATTTCTCCCATACCTCAATGCCACATTATTCCTTTCCTTGCACACTAAGGTCACTTCAATTATTTAGTTAATAATGTTGGATTTGCATAAATTGGCCTTAGTGGAAAAGCTAACGAGATGCATTTTGCTTTGCAGCAGAAAGCAATTTGGGTTTTAGAGTCTTGTAGCAAAATTAACTGAAAAGAAAACCACAGGCACCTAAGTTAAGAGTAGAATAGCTGCCACTGCTGAGCAAAATACTGAGCTCTGTACATTTTTCTTATCCTCTAGTGGTATTAGCAAGCTTGCTATTTCATAGCTTGTTCCTGCTCGTTTGGTCACCATTGAAGAGTTGAGACCCTATAAAGTCCAAGAGAGCCTTAAATGTGCTTAGAAATTTTTCACAGAAAAGATCAGCAGCTATATTGACCACATCAAGTAGTATTGCTTATATTTGCATAGGATGATACCAGCCATAAACCTATACAGAGCTGAACTTTCCAATCATTCTGAAGTGACATAAGAAGTGCATGGTTGCTGACTACTCCTCTTAGTACATGGACGAGAGCGGCTGATACTCACTTTTAGATTTCTGTGGTATAGTGTTCCTGAAATAGTATGTCCTCACTATAGAATATCCTCTTCAATGAATCAGTTGGTCATCAGACTTCACTAACTTATAGTAAATTTATAAATAACTGTCTGCCGAATGAAATAATTTGTTTGATTCAGTTGCAGGTGGTTAATTGTATACCCTTTGATGACCCTCACTTTCCATTTTAGCACATTATGGTTAATAGTCCACATCATTTAAGAATTACATGGTAACAAGAAAATGTTTAGACTTTCTACTTGACTCAGTCATTAAACCAGGATTTCCAAAAGTAATCTGTTAGGTAAAAAGATTGAAAGAATTAATTACTCAAGGAATTTTAGTTAAATAGGATCAAGGTTGTGGGGGGTATTTTTAGGATCAGATTCTAGTCACAAAGCAGTGTGCTAATGCCATCACACCCTCTGAAAGCAGGCGTCTCACACTCAAGACCCAGACTCCTACAGTTTTCAGCTCTAATTCCTAGGGCCCATGAATCTGATTTTTTAAAAAAAGAACCAAAGATATTCAGGCATTATATGTTTATGAAGTATCATAATCGACTTATTTGGGTTAGGACACTGTAAAGATAAGCTAGGAAAGTAATTTTCCATCTTATAAACTAAAAAAATTTGATTGTCCTTTTCTCCCTCCCTCCATTTTTCCCCCTACCTTTCTTTTCCATCAGAAAGAATGGGCTCATGCTATGTAACACAGTAACAATGTGCCCATTTTAAATGATTTTTAATTAATTTTAGTTCAATTCAAACATCTTTTTCCTGGTGTCAGCACCACCCTTCCAGTGTTCTGCAGCTGAAATACTAGGTACTGTTGGTCAGGGTAGGCCCAGAGCACAGCAGCATCTCGCAGTGTTCTTCAGACCATGCTGATGGAGAACATTTCTCCCATCTACCTTTTTAAATAGAAACCAGGAAAAGTAAACTGAATTCTTTACTTTAACATGTGTTTTGGTTCTATATTAAAACCACTTCAGAGGAACCTGTACAGAGGACTATATAAAGAGGAGAAATATTCAAGTGAGGGAGGAGACAGGTGCCAGGTGACTGAGAGAACGGGAAAGACACAAGCCTGGTGCCCACAAGAACAAGAGACCAAGGAAGCTAAGGGCATCTCTCCGAGTGGCATTCTCAGTTAGCACTGGCATGTGAAAAGAAGTATAGATTGACAGTTACTTAGCTACACAGGCAGGCTTCACAAAGACTGGACTGTCAGACAGAAACCAACAGTGTCCTTAGTCTGTTTGCCATCTCGACTCTGGAAACTGCTCCAGGAGAAAAAGCCACCCGTGGCTCTCCTCCATGCTGTGCTTTACGGTGGGTAACGTGTTCTGTCTCCGTGTCAACTCACACTGCTTTCATCTTCCCTTCACTGTGTGGCTTCTGCTGCCTTTCTCCTGCTCATCTGTAGATTCTTCTTGCCGTCTTCTCCCTTTGTCCTTCTACTTCTAGAGTAGTCAGCTCCTGAACTCTTACTGCCTTGGATTCTGAAACCCTCTTAGAGAGCACCTCTGATTTTTATAGCCATCAATCAGTAAGTACAGAGCAAGGCTGCTGGGTCAGACACCCCTATATGAATGGCTTACCCCAGGCTGCTTCTAGGTCAGGACTGAGCCTGATCCAACCAGCTGG